CTGAACAAAGAAAAGATTGTGCAACCCAATTCTTTGACTGGCTGGTGCACGCATACGTTGTCATAGTAACTGTGTGCGGTGTGGTTGCTACCTGTCATTTTGGAAGAGTGCCGGATGTCCGCATCACCCCATAGAATACCCAAACCCCATGCCCTTCCTGGAGATTACATTGAGTCAATCTCTTTGTTCTCCTCAATCAGCGACGACTCCTTGCAACCCGGGTATGTTTTTTTTTTTTGATCAAACTTGTGCCCTCAAATGTAGGTGGTGCAGTTTGTCTTTTGTCCCTTGCACCCATTGTTTGTAGGATTTACATGTACATCCTCAGCAGTCATCGAATGTCAATAATCAAAATTGAATATCAAACAGTTACTTGTTCAACATTGAATGTCGAATGTCAAATGAGGAATAAGCACATGTAAGTTGTTACTAACTTCACACTGCAAATTTAACCCCCAGAACTGTGGGGTTCCATTGCTGCTATGCTCCCACAAATGTTGAACAATTGAACTCAACAGATCTGGGGGTATTCAAATTTCAGGCTCAAAATGCAAGGAAAGAGTTCCATATTGATAGGCCTTGGCCTGTGGACGCCTCCAATTTTATTTAATTTTGAATGGGCCTTACTAGAAACATTAACACACCATCTTCACATGGCCAAAATGCTGTATACAATCAGCTAAAGAGCTGAAAAGAACTATTGGCATATATTTGGGCTAAACAACAATTCTCAGTGGTTTGAAAATGGAGTACATGTATGTCACATGAAAAAAATTGTCTCTAAGCAGCATAGTCATTTTCTGCCATTTTGCCTTCTGACAGAACTTGGACTGTACCATTTTGGTATGGGTATGTGGGTAATACAAATAGGAGTACTGTATGGCAGAAATGTTACAGAAATAAAGCTATGGGCACATTTTAATTTTTCATCTTCAAGGTGTGAATAAATGATTACAGAAATAAGCGAAAACACATGAGAGACTTGTGGGGGAAACAGGTAAATTCCCCATCCAATGCATGTTATGTTGATTATTTTGTTATATATTACCCCTTTGGTGTAATGGTATGGTCTGAGCAACATGGCTGCCAACTTTGTAGCTGTTCAGAGGAGGCAACATTTGTGAACTAAAACTGGCAATTTTCAAGAGTCTGGTCTTTTGTAGTTAAGCCAGTTTGTCTTGGTTAAAAAAAATTCACTGTCAAATGCTGCTTCTTTTAATTTTGAAAGTGTTTTAGAGGTGTTGATTGTGTGTTGACAGTAATTAGACCGATTTTGATTAGCACTCAGGTTTAAAATGGGCGACAGTTTAGGGGGCTAGAAATGTGTAAGGGGGTTTGCACATGTGCAGCATCGTGAACATCTAGTATCTGAGCTTTGTCACACCCATTTACAAGTGTGTGAACAGCTCTACAGCACGACATACATGTACATGACGTGGAGCCTTTGCCCTGCCATACACTGCACTCCCCTGCTTTCAAAACGTTCAACCTGATATCGGGTTTTCATGATGTTACATACACTTATGCATATATGTGCAGTGTGTGAAGCATCTTGTGAATGGCCAAAGGTTACACGGTCCAAAATCTATACCCCATGGGTTTTAAAGAGTTATGACTTACATGTATATGTGTTTTTGATGGCTTTTTTGGGGGGGAGAGACTTGATTGAGAAATTACAATTTTGACCTGCAAACAAGGGACATTGCTGGGGCTGCATTTAGAAGTTCATAGCATTACGAACCATTACAAGTCAAAACCCTCAAGTCACACAGAGTAGCGACTTGGAGTTCTGTAAGTACTCTGGATTTACTGAAAGAAAGATTAATTCACTCTCCAACTCGAAATCCTGTTGGCAGATGAAGGGGACCCCCTAAGTTTTGTGTCATTTTAATCTTGCAAAAGGGTAGAAGCTGAACTAATGTAGAGCTGCAAGCCACTACCCTTTGTGACTTTCCACCCCAGGACTTTTTTGGGTTCTTAATGCTATAGTTTTTTTATGCAGCCCAGTGAATGTCAAATCAGGTACATTTAATGTATGTTTAAAAAAATCCAGTTTTTTAATCAAATTTCCCCCCATGCCCTCTAAGCTGATGTGCATCTCTTTATCTGATGACCTATATTTACATGTAGCAATGCATGGTTTTATTTAAGACCATGGGACTGACTCTTTCCAAAAAAAAATTGGAGTTTTGTCACTACCCTCTCATCTTCCTGACGAAAATGATCCAAACACATCACTTACATGTACTTTGCATACATCACACAGTGCACATATGTCAGGTTCTGTATCACATACATGCACAAGTAATGCCACTTCAAAGACAAATGAGATACTCAGATTACTTTGTAGAAATCTTTGCAGCTGCTCGGCTAAGGTGAAAGAGACTGCTTATAAAACCTTGGTTAGAACTAAACTAGAATACTGCACCAGCAACAAGGACCCATACATGTACATGTACATGTGCCGTCAAGATCGCAATAACAAACAGGAAGCAGTTCAGCAGAGCGCAGCTAGATTTGTGTGTAGAGATTTTTGATGGAAAAGATATGTTTCTTCCATGTTGACGAAGTTGGGGTGAAAATCATTGGAGGAGTTTAGAGCCATTTCTAGACTCATTGTACATGTACATGTACAGATACAATGTACATGTACATGGGCAGTCCCTAGTTAGGCCCTATCTCAATTTTTCACCTTTTGTCACCTTGCTTGGAATACATATATTTTGAACTCAAATTTCACGATACTGCAACGATATTACATGATGGTACAAAATTCAACACTACCTGGGAAGATTAGTGGAGAAATCTCAGTGATGCACTTTAATGGAAAGGGTCATTCCATGTCAAATCACCCAGTGATTCATTTAGGTATAAGAGGTAATTTTGGATGAAAAAGCTGACATTTCAAGTTTTAGCGCGGTTGGACCAAGTTTTGGCCAATTTAGGTCAAAAATAAGCTTAACTATGATTTTTTAAATGACTCTGTCCCCTTTCAATTAGCTAAATTTGTTGATGCTGGTATCTTCAGAGAGGTGATAGTGTAAAGAATCCAAAGAAATTTCCCATTATATTTTATGTAAAAACAATTTGAATTTAGGACCTTTTGACCAATACTTTGACCTTGAACTAAACCTCGTGGATTAAGTTACTGGTACCTGGAGATGAACTTCAGTGAAAATTACAACCCAACAAGCTCTTACAAAATACTTGTATCAACTGTACTCCACATCTTTGTTTGCTTTCTGGGTGATTTGACATGAAATGACCCAGAAGATTTAGACAAGTGAAAAGATTGAGGTCATCTGACAGCTGTCAAAATGATATCTGAAAAATGATATCTTCCTTGCTTGATCAAGTGATAGATGTAGCGATACAATCTAGTAACATCACTAGAGTTAGCCTGAGTCCCAAACCTGATACATGTAGATCCTGAATTGGTACCCACAACACAGTTCCTGTGAAATTCTATTTTGGCCTGATTTTCAGACTTTTTTCAAGTGCACAACTTTTTAAAAATGCACCCAAAATAAGAAAATAATTTTCTCATAAAATTGTAGTTTGGTACTTGAACATGTATGTGAGTGTTGGTAATAATCAGAATTTATCATCTTCAAAGAAATTCTTATATGTGAGATTTCCTCATATTTATTAACTGCACCACATTAATAGGGTACACTCTGCTGAAGTTTTCCCATTTCTGGACTCCACCAGTTTTGAATTTTGAATAATTTCATGGCATTAAAATTATTCACAAAGGTTGAACAGTATGTACATGTATTGTAAAGATACATTTAAGGTACGAAGGAAATTCTGCCAAACTCCATACTTCCCACTGCAATTCGTTAAAGATCTATATACACGTTCATCTAGCACGCATACTCACACATGCACGAAATGCATAGGAACCGAGTGCCCTTATGCATGCGTGGAAGAGCTGTGGGCGTGAAGAAGTCACAGATAAGGCTGTGTCCGAATGGGCTTCCAAAGATACGGCTACGTGTACATGTAGGTCGATTGTCTGCACGTCTCCATGTACATGTATTTGTAATGGAGTGAAGACCTACATGTAGCTTCAGACAAATGCATAACTGACAGAATGTGGGCTGGGCTTGGAGGCCATTTCACTCATGTGCAAATGCATACTACCACACGAACGTACATGAAGGTCGTTAACGATTGTGATGGGAAGCGTGGAGTTTTGCAGAATTTCCTGCAAAATAAGTTGTTTGCGGGCATATTTAGTAATTTTAACTCAGCATTTATGGAATTCAGGATATAAACACTTGTGAACAACATTTTGAGCTGTCTTTGTCAGGTAAAAATGCGAGAAAAACTGTTGAAAAAAATTTTGCATAGTAGGAGGACTTTCATACCCTGGACGTTAGTCGCAATGTAATGTAGACATTGTCCAACCTGGGTTAAGCCTCTACAAACATACATGTAAAGAGTCTTCAACCCCAAAATTGTTAATCTTTAAAATCATTTATTTGACCCTCATTGTTCACCATGCTAGCAAAGAATGACAACTGATACATAGTTCATTAGTCCCTTACTCCTGATGCTGTGACAGACACTTTGCTCATATTGTTTAGTGTTCACACTTCTACATTGACTACTGTTTAAATAAAAAATGACTAATGAAAGACTGACTGGTACTCCTTGCCATGTCTTGGTCATGTTTTTTTTAAATCCTTTTATTGCAGGTGGAGGGAGGCACTTTGAGATGACACCTGTTACTAGACAGGAATGAACTTTCTGCAAACTTTGGCTGTCTATACAAAATACATATAATAGACAATTTTCACAAAGCCTGTTGGAACTTTTCGAACAAAATACTTTCAAAATTTGCGATAATTGGGCTTTGAGAAGGTTGAGAGAAAACTGGTTCTTAAACATGCAAAAAACAGAATTCATAGTGCCCAATTTTAATTTTATTTAAGTATGTTGTAATTACCTATTAAAAATTCTTAATGGTTTTTTTGTTTATTTTTCTGGACAAGGAATCATTTTATACAGAGGATTCCTTTTCTGATCTTTCTGAAGAGGAACTGTGGGTAGAATCAAGGGAATCAGGTGTAAGCCCACTGTCAGTGCGCCCTAAGAGTGCCCCAAGGGGCACACCAAGGAAGGCAGGATCCAAAAAACCACGTAAGTGTTATGAAAAGCTACCATAATGTGACTCGGGAAGTAATCTTTTAACCCCTTTCTCAGCATGGAAAGCATAGCTGTAATGTCTTGGGCATGTACCGGTAGGTTATCGTTATCATATCAATAGTTTTGTTTATTTGGAAATACACTCACTTGGAACACGCGTTTATGAAATTTGGTAGCTGGTAGCTACTAGTACGTGTAAGAGGTGTGTTTGTTAAAATTGATTGTTGGCCAAATTCTGTTCCAATGTGCTTGTACACTACTTACAATTTTCATGTGTGCACCAGGCATGTGCTTGAGCCTGATTCAATAATTCTCAATCAGCCTGTTGTCTTTGCTGGTGAGGGAATGCTTCTGGTCAGGTACAGTGTACCTGTAGATCAAGGCATAGATGGTGTCTTTGGAATAATAATAATAATTATGATGATAAAAGTGGACATATTTAAAACATATCCGTCATATGTCCAACACAGTAGCCTTTTTCCACATGGACTTGGCATTCAGGTTGGATTAGAGGGAGGGGGGAGACAAGATTCCCAGATTTGCCAAACAGACTCCATTTTCTCAGTGGAAGGTTACTTAAATGCTGTTCAACTGAGCACACCTGAATTTGCCGTTGTTTTCTCACCCTGCCGTGAATACCTTATGGGGGAGGGTCACCTGTTAACCTGAAGGTGCATCAGATGTTTCCATATATCTTGAGGTACATGTAAATGATCAAGTTTGGTGTTTCTGCCTACATCAAGCAATATGCCATATTGATGAGCAAATTTTTCTTGCCTTCTTTTTGCATAATGTGAAAATCGATACAAACTCTTAATCCAAATTCTGTTACTGTACATTCTGCGTGTGAGATCATTCTGTCAGGGCATCTTCCATGTGACTTGATTAAAATTTGCCTGAAAAAAAATTCTTGAAACGTCTTTACCTACATGTACCACATGAAAGAAAGTAACTTATCGGCTTGATATCTGTAATATTTCTCTCATTGTACATGTATCGGTACATGTACCGGTAGCCTCTGACTGCCTCGGTGCTGTACCTTTTTTAGACTTGAAATCAAGTTGGTAATTGGCTGGATATAGTCCACCTTCCTCGCGATGCATATGCGGTGCAGTTTAATAACACACATGAACGGTCAGTGCAACCTCACTCCCCAATTATGCCAGTTTGGCGGTGTCCCATTACTGACTTGAACAATCCACAAGCACTTCTGTGCACCACATACAGGGCTTGCTACCAAAATTGGACAGAGCACTATGATTGGCTAAGAGTCCCGATTATATGAATACATGTATTTGTTTTAGGGGCAGTTTGATCAGTCAGTTGAATGTTATTAGCAACAACAACAGTTTTGCTCTTTGAAGAGGGTGTTTACTTTATTCTGAAAAGATGATTTAACATAAAAGCATGGCTTTTTTACCAAAAAGATAGTTAATAGATTTTTTCATGAGTAGTTATGTATACTTTGTCTTTAAGCATTATATTAAAAGGGATACTATACATGTACAAGATATAAAAGAAAGTGGCACTAATCAAATATATGAATCTATAGATATGAAATGGATGAGTCTCTTATGTACAGTAGCGTGACACTAATGTTGGTGTTCTCCATGGAAACGTATGGATGCTGTGCAGTGTTGCATGCCTGAATATTCATCCAGAGTCAAGTTAATTAATCAAGTTGTTAGGCCGGCACCAAAATCCAGTACTGAACAGCCCAAGACCACGCGTCGTATCTGGGTCAAATCAGCGCGACAAGCTGGATTGCGGGCAACAGTGAACAGGCTCAGTTCTGTGCAGCATGCTTGCTCTTATCAGTTGTTCTGGATGACAAACACAACCCAATTAACCACTTTATTTTAAGTCTATACCTTTTTTGGTACTCACAAATTCCTTGTTTGTTTTAATGGTATCTTTTAAGGCTGACAAATTAATTTTTAGTAAAAGTGGAATGCTGCAAATTGGTGTGAAGGCTAATTATTACTCATGTTTTTAGTTTTTGCCCTTGAAAAATCAGTTAGCTCTTAGTATCTGCAATTTAGGTACCCGTAAAATTCTGACTTTTGATGCTGAATTTTTGATATATTGGAGTCTATCTAGAATACCATTAAAGGTTATTCGAGCTAAAGCTTAAGTATGTTAAAATATTTAAAAGAATGTTTCAAGCAAATTAGATGAGTCAGTGGGAGAGTATTGTTCATGTAAATGTGAATATCGGGATACTGAAGTACCGCTCACTGTTCTACTTTACGTCCGCTTTTACAATTTGTGACTACATGTAGAATCGCCATACCAACAGAGGCCATCATCATCAAAACACAGAGGCAAGCATTTGACTGTATCCTGCAGTGGTACTCAACAATCCTCCAGGGAGTTGTGGTTGCAGAGCCTTCGCCTTGGTACAGGAAGTGAGTTGATTCTTTGTTTTTAATCACCCATTTTGGGCAAGAAAAACTTTTTGGCGAAAACAAGATGTTTTGGCACATTCTTAAACTGAAGTCATACAAATACCAAAGCACAACAAACACTGACACTTCATACATGTAGGAATCATTTATGCAATATTTGTGTGATACCTCTTACTGTAACACCATATTGTGCAATTCTGCAAGGCTCTGCCATGGAGCAAGATTGGTTACACCCACAGGCTATGAACTACTGAGACTGCTGAAGTCCATTACTTGGTCAACCTTCACAGACTTGCTGGACATTGTGCATACAACATGATTTGGAAGTTGAAACATGTAAACGTGTTCCTTGAAAGCATTGACAAAGTCATCAGATGGCTATGTCAGTGGACACTGCCAGATCATGTTAAAGTAGTCTTCTGGTATGAACATATTCATTGTCTTTTTATCCTTTAGTGAAGATTGATTCTGAATTCTGAAATCTAGCATTGTTGTTCTTTATACTTAACTCATACCGTGCCATTATTTTGACCTGAAACGCTGCTCAGAGCAATAAAACGCATGTACAATGGTCAAGGTGCACTTTTAACCCAAACCCTCTAGTGAAGCTGTGACTTAAATCTTTTGACAGCTTAAGTTTGTGAATTTTGTTGCTCACACCCTTGGAATTATCCACTAACCACAGGATACCTTTGGTAAAAATGCACAGTTGTTGCCCTTGTTCTAAATTTGTTCCAGTTCTTGATCACTTGAAATGAAGTCCAATTGTTCTGTGTTGTTTTCCAGTACTATATTTTCAGATGTGTTCTGTTGTGTAAAGTAAAATGTAAGCTTTTTACTGTAGGCCTACAAATGTCATTTCCAGGAAATATTTGGGAAGGAATTTTGTCCAGATTTCTGACCTCCACATTATGTTTTAAACAGTTTGTCAAAAATCATGGGAGCTACAAAATCAAAGAAAATTTGAAAAGGGCAGTACACCACTTACGATGTAAAAAAATATTGTTTTCATGTTCTACCATGTCTACTGTCATATAAACTCTTGCTCCGAACATCTATAGAATCAAAATGCATTTTGAGTATTATAAATTTGCATAACTCCACTTATGCCACATGTGCCTCATAAGACCAATTTCACAAAACTTACACACTAGAAGTCCGCGACTTAATCAGCAAATCAAAGCGTAACTTACATGTACATGTATGCAGTCCGTTTAAGTTGGCATAAGTTGTGCTGAACAAAGCAAAAATGAACGATTTACCTAACTCATGGTGTTCAGTTAAGCCTTATCACTGCTAAACTTAACAAGGCTTATATAAGAAACAAAACTTCGTTGTAGAAGGTAATGAAAAACCTGTTTAGCTGTGAGAGAATTGCTAGATTTTCTCTCCTGTTCTGACTAGAAAAGATGAGAAAATGTTTTTAAATGGCGGGCGGAGGTGATTCAATGCCTGTCTGATGACTGTTGTTATATTGGCAAGGAACAACTGTTTTAAGAGCTGTTTTTGTCCTCATCCAAGAAATTTGATAATATTAAAATGTGCCACAGCTATGCAACTTATCCATGGAAATGGACATAAGTACGTGTACATGTATATTGCACAGCTGCGGCAATAATTTGTGGCACAAGGCTCACACATGGTTCAAAGTTATGCCACTTTTTTCTTTTCTGCATTTACAGAGTCCAAATCATGCAGGCAAGTACATGTACGTGCGCATTTGAAGTATCCATCCACATGCATGTAATTGATTTTGTGTGGCATCAGCATCAAATACATGTATGTTTGTTCCTTGGCTAATGCATTGTTCTTTTACATGAACTAGATTTTTTACACTTTAGCAAAAAATCTGCATGTTGGGTGGTTCTGGCTGAAAAATGGAATTAGCTTAATTTTTTTTATTAAGAGGAAGTTTTGACCCGAACTGGTTAAACCGATCCAGAACCATTGAAAGTGGCATTGGTACTTTTGATGATCCTTCATGTTCCATGTTAAAAGCTTTATTTGGAAAATACATGTAATGGTATGTCCTTCAAACAGGGTGGACTAATTAATTCCATTTCACTTGAATCTTTGGATCAGTTGATCTGCAGTCAGACTGAATAAGTTTTGCAATCAGGAACTAGGAAATGATGGTAGTAGATTCCAGTTTCATAACCTCAGTTCTCGGACTGTTTGTATGTACATCATGTACCTGTGTTTGTCTTTGTTTGCAGTGCTCTCAATGACTGTTTTTTATGCAATGTTTCAAAAAGACCCCCTCTTAGATGCATGGTGAAATGGTTTCTGATACAATTGACCAACAAGGTTTGACATTGGATTTTTGCAAAGTGCAATGGTACATCAATGCAAATGGAATAAGCCATTTGCGAGTTAAATTTGAATAAAATCTGGTGCACTGAGTTATCTGATTGCGCATAAACATAACAATTTGAATTCCCCAGACTAAAGACACTCTTGCTATACATGTACCTTGTGGTTCAGGGCAAGCTTTTGCATGGCGACCACCATCCCTGGAATGGACTGGTCCTTTGTGCCCTTCTTATCCATTGAGAACAGTGTATTGTTGCAAGGCATCTCTTATGTAACTGAGAGATTTGGGTCAAAGTTAACTTGCAAAAGGCTTTTTCATTGCCACATTGACTGGCTGCCACTTGGTGACAGTCCAACAGAAAATCACACTTTACTCAATGCTGAAAATACAGGCACTGAGACTGAAACAAATATGTCAAAACAGAAAAAGCATGTTGTAGTCAGTAATTCTGTGAACTAACTCACATGTGTACCTTTCTCATAGTTTAGCTTGTACCATGTTCGGGTTGCCGAGATTCACAATATACATGTACATTGTATCGTACAAATAATTCACTTCATGTAGCCTGCAGGCATGGTAGGGTTCACTGGCTCCCATCACGTCGATGTCATTTCCACAATTTTTAGCGAAGGAACTAGTGCAACATGTGGGCATACAGTGTACATGTAGCTGCATGTGCTTCACCCACACTGTCAATGCAAGTTCCTTCATGTTGGGTAATAAAATGCTTACAAATAGCAGTGTATGGGACTGCCCAGCACATACTGTATATACATTTGTTATGGGTAACATAAAGTTTGAACTTAACAAAACATGAATTTAAAAGTGAAAAAAAAAATCATGTCAAAGATCTGTAACAGCTGCACAGCTTTGTATGTAGAATGTACATGTAAGTGCAATAGTCAGCAATTTTATTTCTATTTTGAAGTTTTAATATAAAAATTATGAGTTGGCGCGATTCCCTAACTGTATTTTGAGGATTCTGTAAGTGAAAGGATTATCAGCAACTTAGATGTATAATTGGTCCCAAACAATTCAGTAATCTAAAAGGTAACGGTAATTCAATTTTTCATTACATATACATGTAGCTTATTGATACACAGGACATGATGCATAGCATAGGAAGCTTGATAGAGGTGGCAATTTATCAATCTCTGTGCAGTCGACTTTGATAAGGATCGTGTTTAACAATACGACTGTTGTCACAAAATTTATTGAGTTATGGGTGAACCTGGCAATTATTCCTATTTATAATTTTCTCTCAAATCGATATCAGGCTCTTCGCTATCAGAGAGTATGGAGAATTCAAATTGTTATATTCACATGAACTAATAGAATGCAGTGTACCTGATTTTACTTAAATTTAACTCATGAATTGGTGCAGTTTAAATGATACGAAATTAAATCCTCTTAAATGTAAACTATGCAGATATTTTTACTGCATAATCCCATCCCCCCTGTGCGGTTGGAAGTTAATGGGTTGCACTTGAAGTTAATCTTTAAAACTTCTAGGGATTATTGTACAGAATAACCTCAGGTGGGACCTGCAGGTTGATCAGGTTATTTCCAATGCATTATGATGACTCTATACTCAGAGTAAATAGAAGAAAAATCAGGTTGCTGTTGCAGATCTTATCTTACATGTAATTTACAAATTATACATCTGCACATTTTTGGAATTTGGTTTGGTTATATGGTCCTCCAGAATTATGGATGTTCAGGTCCAGATTCTTGAACGAGTATAAAGGAGAGCCTTACACATCATTGCTTACCCAAATACTCCCACATACAGGTATCAAGATTTATTGAACATTTTCAGCGTTGATTAATTGTCACTGAGATAGAGAAACCCTCGTCTTGAAATTTGCAAAGTCTCTTCTCATATCCAGCAGACACCACCACATTTTACACAAAGAACAGAATTCAACATATTTATCACAGCACAAAGATACAAACAATCACCAGTGCTGGCAATGATTCAAGCTCCTCATTAATGAACTTTCACAATAATGTTCTGTAGTTTGCATTAATTCATCACTCTTGGAAATTAGAAAATATGTCAAATGTGGCAGGGACATGACAAAAAAATGGACCCCAAATTTCTAGGATTACCCACATGCACAAAACCTTTCCACTTGTGGGTACTATTCCCAGACCACATATCCTCTGTGTCCATTACATGTATGTACAGTACATATAAAAGTCATCAGGAGCTTTTTCTTTGAATGCAAGATTTTCTTTTTAACCAGGATGGTTTGATGGTTGTTGTGGGAAGGAGATTTTACAGTATTGACGTTACAAGGATGTTTATTAAATAGACATAAATACAACATTTACATTTTTCTACTTGCTAATACTTGTAGCTAGATACTGATATAAAAGAAGTAAAATAATTTCCAGAAGCAGCTCTTCGTTCATCTTTTAAGATTGTTTCAAATTAAACATCTTTTTCCATTTTATTTGAATGTACGAGTTTGTAGTTTGCTTTGAAGAAAACATACAATTTTTTACAAGTTGGAAAATATTCCCTTGAATAAAATTTTAATTCCTGTTTCAGTGTGAGCCAGATGAAACCCCTTCATGTTAATTTAATACATGTATAGTGCAAAATCTAGACTAGCACTACCATGAGTAAGGGTGTCTTTTTTAAAATGCATTCTACTACAAGATAGATGTGCAATCAATTTACAATTCTCTTAATATGTTTTCTCTAAATCAGGACTCCATAAACAAAATAGAGAAGAAATTTATTTAAGTCAGTGCCTCATATTTCTTAAACGTTAGATACATGTAGCTGAGCACGAGCAACTAATTTATGTTGGAATGCACAGTCTTTGTACACATGTGCATGTACAGTATGTGTGCTGTCACACAGATGAGAAGATTTCCACCAGCTCAAGTCAGGGCAGACACGGGCTACAAAATTCTGTTAATAATATGACACTCGTTGTATTTGTAATATAAATTGCATACACTGTTGAAAGCCTGAGAGGTGGATTGCGTGAGCCAAGACCTTACCCTTCAAACATTGTCTTCTTGCTGTTCAGATTTAACAGGTAGTGGTAGGAGCAGCAACTACGCTGGCCAAGCTGGAACTACCAAAGCAGGCCTTGATAGCTGTAGTGATTACCTGAAAGAGACTGTGTTGGGCATGACATCACGAAGACATCAACGAGGCAACACAATGGAAGGTACAGTTAAGACAAAAGGTTTACTTACACCTGGTAGAACAAAAACAGTTTTCCTCTATTTCACAACTTCTATCATTCCTACCATATTTTCTTTTTATGAGGACGGACAAGATGGGTCTCTACTTAACCGTTTCCTGCCGGGTGCAACGATTTTATCAGAGCCAGGGTTAGACATGTCATTTTTGCACCCAGTGATTTTCATGTGAAAAACGAGAGAAAAAGTTTAATCAAAGCTCTTGTCTTTGTGGAGCACATTGCGTGGGTGAACTGGGTGTGTGTAGGTTGGTTGTGTGTGTTAGGCACGGAGAACTCCTCAGCACACAGTATTATTAATGTGGAAATGTTAACTCACCCTCTCTATTTGTCACTGGCAAGAGGGCACGTGTGCATGGACTGCATTTGGTCAACATGTACATGTATATCCATTTATATGAGTAGCCCATTGGTCTTGTGTGTATTTTCTGGTAGAATGTGTGGAAATTCACCCATTTAAATTTTCTATACCTGATGGTCTCCCTCAGAACCACTGAATAGGAACTCCAAGGGTGTTCCCAACTACAAGCCCCAGGAGGACATGTATGATGATATCTTGGAGCTAAAAAAGGTAAGGGGCAAAACTTGATGATTAAATGATTATGCATCAGTTTGGCAAATGTATTGAGTGGCTAGTTGTGGGAAAAGTACTTCTGTTAAATTGCTCTTACCTGATACTGCTGTTAACTTCCTTTTAGCAACAGTGTCTGTACTTAAGTACAGTCGACTCTCCGTACTACCAGCTCGGGTAAGATGAGACTCCAGATTAGACGAGCATATTTGTCTTTCCCAACTGAATTGTGCACATTCCTATGAGGGAAAAAATGTGTAGTTCGAAGTCAGATGTTACAAGATTTCGGTTAAGAGGAGCATTTTTAGTGCACTAGCCGAGTGCAAATCTGTTGTCATCTGTCTATTTTGCACAAGCTTTTTTGAAGGCAATTTGTCAATCAGCCAGTCCATTCAATTTTGAAAGGTGCTTCCGTAATTTATGCGTGTACAGTAGAACAGCGCTGTGGTTTTCCCTCACCGAATCGAGCCGTTTGTGTCCAGAGAGACAAACAGTGAGTGTTTGCGGTTCCCGTACCCAACGTAGAAATTCTGTGTGGCAGCTCTCATACTGCCTGAACACAAGCGAGTGCCTCCAAAAGTGCTACAGTATTTAGGACAGTGGTGAACAAAAGAAATCTTTTGTTTGATTTCCCCATCCCACAAAATTCTCCAAGACCAAAGTCCCCCCAAGAAACTGATAAAATTGTGTTCCATATCCAAACACCCAGCCCAAAAACTGCCCACCCTCTGTCTAAAAATTGTTACCCATTCCCCACCGCAACATGAGAATATCACCCCTTCCATTTTTTTTCTAAAAATTTTCAATTTCAGAAAATCATGACTAAACCATGGTTTTCAGTTTAAGAAAATAATTAGCACAAGTTTTAAAGAAAACAGTGTATCCCTCGCTGATAATTTTTCACGAAACCCACACGCCTTTCCAAAGGAAAATCCGATACTCGCCCTCTGCTGTCCACACCACCAATAGCTGGTTTCCTCGCATTTTTATGTGCACCAAGCACAACTCTGGTGTTGGTTACCAACTAAAATGTTAATGTACTTACGTTACGTGCAATGTGCGTGCATGTGGATCTCATCACAGTGTGCGGGGCTGGGGACATGTCGCTCCGAATCAACATGACTGGTGGAAATTCCACTTCCTCCGTTCTTACATTTTATAATTATTCTTTATTACAAGTCTTTATTCATTAAATTGTATCTCACTTTCATAAACAAACTTTTTAAAATCAAATTCATGTAACAAAATGATACCATGCGACTTTAAACAAAAAGTTAAGCACGCTTGTATTTGTACACATGTACACTTTACGTACGGTCGATTCGTGATACATACATCGAGCTGGATGGCAGGTTTCGCGTAAGACGAGGTCTGATACACAAACTAATTTAGTAAGTCCCAAGGCCCTCGTATTAACGAGAGTCAACTGTACATGTACATGTAGACAGCTGTGGGATCATAACCTTTCTTTAAGAGCTGTGGACTCTGTCCGATTTCCCACCTTGAAAATTGCAACAGAATCCACAGGTGAATTTAGGATCATGCATGTCATCAATCAAACCGAATCCAATACAGCTGATTCAGTCACAAGCCATAGCATAGTGAAGGTATACAGCATACCCTGCATTAACCTCAAAATACATGTAGTACAGTTTTGGCTCAGCATTTTGTTGTACATTCATGTATCTGTATCAAAGATTTAGCTGAATAAAGTAATACAGTCGAACCTTGGTATACGTGCACTGTTTATACAAGATTCTGCTTATAACAAGGACAATTTTAAGTTCCAGTCCTTTGTTTTTCATTGTTTTCATTCTTGATAATACAAGGTTCCTCCTATAACTAGGTAAGTTACCAAGTCCGAAGGACCTCTTATTAATGAGATTCGCCTGTATTTGTATCTACCTCTTTCAAACCACTCAACAAGAAACCCTCCATTCTCAAAGGTTGTATCAGCAAGTGGTGATACATGTATGTCACTATTAAAATTGAGTGCTAACAAAGCAACTGTGTACTGTGAACCCATTGTCTTGTGGTCGTATGTTTTTAAAATCTGTCACTAAACTGTGAGCTGGTCTTTGTTTTTATTAGCAAAATAACATCTTGAGGGCAGAAAGTGAGCGGGTGAAGGCTCGGAATCGGCGATTGGAAGATGAGCACCTCAAGAAAGAAAGAACAATTGAGCAACTTTTGGATCCATCAAAGGTAGGACAAAACTACTGCACCTATTGTGAGACCATAATATCCTGCTTATTATTTCCTGATGGCACCCACTCATAAATCATTCATTTGACTACCATTGAGGGAGGGGTGGGATCTTGCTGGTCTTTTACACACTGTTTCATGTGCATAATTGTGCAGTAAACCAAATGCAGTGAAGAGGACTGCACAAAAGACCCTGGGTCATTTTGTGCTGACAACCTACTGTGTACACACTGAACCTGTGCATGTTTGAGTTCCATATAGAAAATACATGCTCACCAATGACTGTGGGCATTTGTGCACATTTGTGCTGTAAAACCAAAGGAGGGTTAAGTAAACTATTAAAGTAATGTGTGATAACTAAGATTTGTGAGCAGTGTCAAAAATAAAGATTTTTCAGCTTCAGGAGACGCTTGCTTTTGTTATGCTGTGTTACCAAATTAAGACTCAGATTCATAATTGTATTTGATTATGTTGCATGATTATTTGTATATGTATTTAATTTAAAGGTCACTGGATATGTCTTTGAATACAGAAAAATCAAAAGAGATGCTATTCCTCGGGTGTGCGGGTGTGCCCATTGAATGGTACCATTCACCCTCATGGCCCACGTGCTCTGCATAGCAACACAGGCCATCCAGCGGAACAATGCACTGTGCTAAATCCTGGCACAAAGAGGAAATTATGCAACACCACATAATGAGGGTTCTTTATTGGGCAGCATGCGTGGCTGCAATTAATACTCACACATTAATGGAGGTTACTTGTCAGATTAGATTTGACACAAGACTGTCATTCTTTGGGGTGTACATGTGTAGTAAATAATGATATGAATCTTTAAAGAATTTTGAAAACAAAAAAAATGAAAAAGTGCCCAGCCCAACAGTCTGAACATTGATAATTGGCCGGCTCTAAGTGGTTAAGCATAATGATAGTTCAATACAGAGTTAACTCAAGTGAATGCATAGACAGTACATGTGCACAACACAAAGTACATGTACATACACTCATTATACAGTGTTTGATTTTGAGTGACAGACTACTTTTGGTAAATGTTGTCATTGGTGGGTCACAATAAAGATGAGCCAACACCCTTCAGACAGTTGATGCCAGTGTTTGTGCTATCTCTCAGGATTGATGTTTTCATGATTTTTGAAAAACTAAGGTCTCTTCATTGTAGCCTCCGGTTTGACGAAGTCGTCAGCCTCAAACTTCTGTTGTTTCATGGAGACCATCATATCTACCAATTTTCAAGCAATTACAGCAAACTTTGCCACAGGCTTCATTTTTCAAGTTTTTTAACCTGTCGCTTGAGAGCGCTCAAGAATTTTACAATGTCACCAGGCCAAGTTTTGAACAATGCTACAATGTATTTTGCCGGAGACTACCACTGTTGAAAGTAATTTATATCTATCACCATTAAAATAATAAGCTCTTCCTGTTTTGAGAAGAAGCAAAGGTCATATGATTTTAGGTACATGAGAAAAGATGATGACTTACAAGTACTTACCACTTGCTGCAAAAACCAAAATGAGGGATTGCATTATTGATTTTTTATATGAATTGTTAAAGATTTAAGATATCAAACTTCAATTGCTAATATGTTTTGACTCCAATTGATGTCATCATGAAATCGTGGTTCTGTTTACATCCTAGAATAATGGTCGAAGTATCTTTTAAGCTTGAACGGAATTGGAATTGCTTAAAAGCAGAACAAAACAAAAACAAGAGTTGTTTTGGCCAGTACCCAAAATAGGTCCCCCCCAAAAAACAACTCCAAACACAGACACACTTGCTGTCACTGTCACCTAGAGCATTTGGACCATCTTGAATAGTAGCAGAGCACCACATGGAGAAGATAAGCAGTGTCCTAGCCTAACATGCCTAAGGACATTTCCTTTTTCTTGTTGGAGATACGGTACATCTAAAACATTTGGGTTCCAGTTAGAATGGACGAGATTTATTATGATAAAATGAAGGTTGAAGAACATAAATGATCAGTCCAGTTCTTCTGATAAGGTACACTGTAGTTAAAACAAACATTCAAGTCAAATTACGTCGTAGGAGGAGCCCAACGTAAATTTCAAGCAAATATCAAGCAAGCTCTGGAAGCCACCAATGGCATCCCTGATAAGTCTACTGTGCTACAAAGACAACATTACCAAAATGAATGGTAAAAAATGGCAGTATATAACATTAAGGTCTCTAACCTACAGCATGTGAAATTGCCTTATAAACTGAGCACCTAAACTAGATAGGTTTGCGGTAGCACCATGGATATATCTCTTTGTGAGCATGTGGGGTTCTGAAAAGAACCGGTGGTACTCAACGTTTTGGACAGTATGCTTTCACGATGGACAGAGCAAACAGTCTGAAATGTTGAGTACCGGTACCACTGAACCCCACATGCTCCAAAAGAGATATATCCATGGTGCTCTGCAAACCTACTGTATCTACCGGTAGTTTACTTACTACCTCCACCATGAAAGTTTTAAATCTCAAACTAGGCAAAAAGACAAAATGTCTGATTTTTCTTTGGTTGTTTTCTTCAATTTGGTCCCTAGTAGAAACGAAAGAGGATGCAACAGTTTCCATCAGTGGCCTAAAGACTTCAGGGTGATTTTTGTAGGACCACAAGAAAAAACAAAAAAGCAAAAATACTTGATTTCCAAATACATCTGAAACCAAAGGTTTGGTTTGAACATATCACACTTATTGACCTTTATCACATAGTCTTCAAGCATCCCTGGTAAAAATGTAAGTACTGAAAATGTTACTGTAAATGGTATTAGTGCAATAGAACTTATGTTTGTGGGAGTACATGTACTTCTATGTGAGTTGAAAACACTGATGACCGTTCCTCAAAAAATGCATTAGTCAAACCCAAATGAAGAAAGTTTGTATTTTTTCCTTCCCTTTTCAGGGTGATGTTAGAATGACTTTGACAAGCAAGCAACCAGACACTGCAGCAGTAAGTACTGAAAAGACAGTCCCCAAGATAACAGTGTTGGTCAGTAGATTTATTTTAAAAAGCTGACAACTAATTTCAATTGAGTTACACTGCCATATGTGCATATTAGCTGGTGTTTATTTTGTTGAACAATTTTCAAAACAGTAAACCCGAGGCAATTTTAAAAGACAAAGGATAACATTGTAGTGATGCAGGGTTCAAGTGCTGGATGCTGGTGCTGGATGTTTATTTTATCCATGTGGAAGTCACTTTGCGTTGTAACTTTGAGTTGTAACTAGTCATGAGTCATTAACTTTTGTGACTTGAATCAAGTCATTCTAATGTAGTGACGCTAGTTAAGTAATAGGGTAAGGAGGCTGATTGGAGTTGAGTCACAGTATGTAAGTGAGTTGAGTTTAGTCAGGTATTTTGGCTCGAGTCAATTTAAAATTTTATATTAATTTAATTCCCTTTTGAAAAAACTCTATACCTCACACAATTCAGGATTTACACACAAAAGAGATTTTGCTTTATTGGAGGGAATAAACAAGCCAACCAATATGAGAAATATGAAGTAAATCCAGAGAACACCAATTCAGATGGCAATAAATTAAAATAAGAGATTTACAGAAAATGCAGGATCCTGTTGAGTTAGAATACACTTTGAGCTCAAGGATAAAATGGTGCCAAAGTTGTAGATGTAGAGATGAGTTGTGACAAGTCGTTCCAAGGTGGGAGAACAGGAGTCCCTTTTTTGGGTAGCCAGTTGACAAAAGTGAAGAGCAAAAGTTCAGCCGAAAAAATGTAACGCAAAGGAATACTTGCGGATCTTGCAAGGTTAATGCTGGTGATTAATGGCACAGATGCCTTGGTGTACTTGTGCTGTGTCTGCAAGTCACAATAGCTCAGTGGCTGGGATGCCTCGGGACAGCTTTTAGGTGGACTGCGGATACTCCCTTCCAGGCCCTCTTTCAGAACATGCAGTTCAGTAACTAAGATAGAGAGCATAGTGGTCCATGCCACATTACTAATATAAAACATATGTGAGGTCAGACCAACGCAACCGACTTTCTCTGGCTTACGTGCTTTGGTAGCTGTACATCGCATATGGACCTCAAAATAAAATACTGGGACCATCTTGCATGTAATTTAACATGTAAAGGGAAAATATATCTGAGGCACTGACTTACATGTAGAACAAATCTTAAAACTAGACAGGATCACTCCAGGAATACATTTATTAGTCCCACATATCATGAGGTAGGAATCAATTGGTGAAAACTCCAACTCTTAATCAGACTGGTTATATATATAGGTATATGTGAAAACAAAGTCTAAAGCTTGACCAATATACAATTCATATCTCTAACTTCTGATGAATTCAATGCACATCAGAATCTATCAAATAAGCATGAAACCCTGTTCAAATAAACCATAGTCATCGAAAAGCATTACAAAAGCATTAGTCCAAATTGTAGGACTACAGTCAGTCTGTCACTTACACCATGGATATGATGGGTGATAACTCCTAACTTACACATCTGTGGCATGTTCTCCATAAAATGGACCAAAATGCAACTTCGGCTGTCCTTTTTCGAAACTTCTAAAAGAGTGATTTTGATCACGTAAAATACAAATTAGCACCTTCAGATTTATAAAAATAATTATATGGGGATAATTAGGCATAATATGTATTTATGGTGGACATTTGGTTGGCTACCAGTGCAAATCAAATGGAGTTGAATTCATTTAAAGTTTTCATCAAAGTGTTTACACAAGAGGACTTGATTTCAAAACTTGTCTCAACAAAAAGGAGAATTCAGTGTATTTTAAAGCACCTAAGAAATAACTTTTAAAAAATATAAGCCACAAAAAAAAGAGCACAAAATTGACAGAAAATGATGAGAAAAGTTTGGCTGTCTTCATCCTCTTACCGCTTCTAATCACTCTCACTATACAAACATATTTGCCAGGTCTTGTATATTTCGACCACCAAAAATCATCTTGAAGTTTGGCTGCATCAAAAATTTATAATGAGTACAATATGTTCATTGCGAACGTCATATTTGACAGAATTTTGATGACGTTCAAAAATTTTGACAGAAACTGCATGATGTTTGAGAATGCCGAAAATGCTGTCACATGTAGTGTTTGAAAATTCCATGTGCGATTTTCATTTTGCCGGTTATTCTGGAGATAACTCCGCTGAAAATAACTAAACTAACAACTCTGAGTATTAGATTTTCATCATGAATCATATTTTATGTCTCGAACGTTATTTTTTTGCGAATATTATTCAGAATAATGGATTTTCTTTTGAGAAAAATTGTTCCGAAGAGAAAAATCGTGGAGCGTTGCCATTCCTTGGAGGGGTTCATGAATATCGAATAAAAAAGAGGGCGCACTATCTGGGTTGATGTCAAAGGTCAAACAGGCCACGGTGCAGCAAAATGTTTCTCTAATGTCACCGCGAAAGATTGATGGAAGCCAAAAAATCGCCACGATCGGTAATTTGGACTGCGGTTTTCGGGAACATACTTGAAGAAAATGTAATCGGTCCAGTCGTAAAAGAATGATGGTTTGGCTGTGCTTTTTGCATTCTTTTATAAAGCTTGTGTTGTACATCAATATATAAATTTTACTCGCTTTTTTTGCAGTCGATTTTTTTTTACACTAATGACAGAATCGAATGACATTCGCGACTGCCGACTTTGGGACCCGATTAATTGTGAGAGATACTTTTTAATTTCGTGGTTATGGTTTTAATATGTGTAAATATTATCACCTTTCACCACATATAAATCTGTGTAAAATAACCTCAGGGATTATCACTCCTCAATAAATTCTATTGGCTTGGATGTCCGTCAAAATTGCTAACAATCGAGACTTTAATTAACTCCAATTAAGTTGAAAGGTTGATACGGTCATCATTGTTCCAGATGTCAGCCATGACTTCCCTTATTACAAACATTGGAAATTAATTCACTGCTGTTCACTTCAGGAAAAATGAACCCCCAAAGTTGAACATTATCTAATGGTCCATATTTTGAGGAATCTGTCATATACAAAATCTGCACATATTTCTCAATGCAGTGAAGGGCACAACTTATTCCCAGCCTTCACTATAAAAAGTTATAAGTCAAAGTGATTGAAAGGTACACTCAAACCACCTCAAATAATTCACTAAACACGTGTCTTAAGCTAAATGTAAAAGCAAAGCTTTCTGAGGAAACATCTCTTTTGGATCTAGTCTCAGAACATTACTTGCTAGTGGAAATTATGAGATACCCCGAAACTTCAAAATCAAAATTTGCTTGGACTTCTCAAAATACCCCTAAGTCCAGACTTCATAAAACCAATCTGTATACTTCTGCTCATAGTTACAAGAAGAGTCACAGTGAAAAATGCAGTGACTAAATCTCAGAAAAGACACACAAATAGGAACTCAAGCTAATAAGATATAGAGCCAACACTCGTGAACATGAGGGGAAGACTTGGGTTTTGAGGTCCTCTGGTTCAAAGAAAAATAGTGCAGAACACAGACAAAATTTGGCAGGCATGTAGTCAGCACTATGAATGTTTGGAATGCCAAGCTTGCGAAAACTCTGGGGCAGACTGCCACCCAGAACATGCCCTCGACACATGACTAGCTCAGGCTCTCATTGGACAACTTAAAAAATGTCACACTTGACTCCAATACTGATTGGTCATTTAGTATCTAGGCAGATTAGCACTCAGCAGAAGTTTACGGCTTTCACAGCTTTGGTAAGGTGTGAACAATAACTAGGGATTATTGTGTCCCAACATCCTTCTGATCTCCTGTAAAATTTACCGGGAGGGTACACACTGGTGTACTTGTCAGAGATTAAAGGCAGTGGATACAACGAACATCCTGTGATCTCCTAGGAAAGCAGGAACATTAAAGATAAACTAAAGAAAGAGCAGGCTATTTGACAAAAGGAATAGGCAATAGATCAAAGGTTCACCACTGGAACACTGCTTACCAGTAGAAAAGTCAAAAACTCAGAAAAGAACAAAAGAAAACATTGTCTTAAAAAAAAATGAAATTATAACCCAAGACCTCTTTTGGGACGGGGTTACAGACACAAATATTTGAACACATTGTAGTAAATAAATGCAGGAGAGAAAGCCATTTTTAAGCATGATTTAATTTACACTCTGGCTATTACATGTGGTTATACCACAGGTTACTCTTGATAGAAATAAGGAGGGGTGGTACATGTAGCTGATCTTCAGCTTAGTAAATAAAGGCACAATTTAAGTCACACAAATCTTCTGTTTATATACATGTTGGTGTTTCAGAATACCACTTCTGACAGTAACTTGTCTGTAAGTTGAACCGAAGTTGCCATTTTTAGCTTCAGATCTACATTTTTGTTGTTATTTTGTCGAAGCCAAAACTTACATTTCATTGCATTATGTCAATCTGTCCTTGATAAGTACACATGGGCCTGTGTCCATTTGAGTTTTGATATCAGTTTTTGTGCGAAATCACGGCAGAAAGTTAGCTGTTCTGCGAAGAATCACCTGAACAGTGATGAAACCATGAATTGTATTTTTAGTCTGATACCAGGTTTGTATTATATGCTAGTACAGAACCAACAGGTTGGAGTAAGTAACACTGTTTATGTTTGTTGCATCATGCAGGAAGGGCAACAGTCGGCCCCTTCATATAGTGTACATATATGCATGATACCGTTGCACAACATGACAACAGAAACCGATATTGTATGTCATCACAAATATTTTTTTGCAAAGAAGTTAATTTTTATTTTTGCCACCTGAGTTTTATGAGTTTGTATTCAAGGCAGTACTGCTATGCTGGTAAAGGACTCATGTCGAGTTGATTATTTACCCATTGGGATTCAAGTTGTGTTGAGTCACCAGAAATTGTGACTAGAGTGGCAACTCCAGTTGAATCATTAACTCATGTCATTATAACTCTGCTCGCCCATACCTTCTTTTCCACCCATTTAAAGCATGGCAACAAACATGTAGCTATCTATTTTTGTTGATTTGTGTATTTCATATGACCTCAGGAATAACAGCACCATGATGATCCATTTGATTATTTCCCTTTTTAGTAGTCCCACTAAATTCAACACTGCAGGAAACCAATGACACGTTCTTTTTATCTCACCTTTCATTGGGTATCAAGCCCCATGTATTTAAAAGATGGTGGTTTGGCTTTACATGTACCTTTTTGGGCAAATTTTCAAAATCTGTGGAATTTGGAAGGATCAAGGAGGGTCGATTGAGTTGGTTTGTAAGGCCATTGTTTAAAATTTCTTCATTACCGTTTGAAATTTCCAATCTTCATACATACACTCATTAGATTTCTGACTGTAGTTGTTATTTGTTTCCACAGAAAATGAACAGCCTAAAGCAGAAAGTAGTCAAGCTGGAGATGGTTCTGAAAGACAGGGAAGCAGAACTTAGGTAAGAGCAAAGGTCAAAGTGTACTTACTACATTGCCTCGTGTAAGGGAGCTTGTCCACAAGGTCACTACCGTTTGGCCACACACTGTCACCACAATTCGTCCCTGGACTACAGAGACAGTGACTTTGCCAGACAAAAATTCACTCGTTCAAAGACAAGTTAATAAGCCAGCCCCAGTGACAAGCACTATTGTTACATTGATGACTCTTGAATTATGCATGCAGTGACCATTGTCAACGCACACATTCTGTGTCCTTCAGTGTGTTCTGAGGTCTCTTACAAAGTATTCTCTAACTTTCAAATAATGCAAATATCATAAAGCGGATGCAGTGCATGTAAAGATTGGGCATCCGGGCACCTGTAAAGTTAAAGATACATATTATAAATAAATAACACCCCCATTCCGTCAGTAACATTGTATAGGATGCATTATTTTTCAAACCCAACAAAGCTAATCTATCTTGCTAAAATACCAAACTGCTGACACACTTGGAGCGGACTTCAGCTTTAATTAATTGAATGGACCTCTGCTGAATAATCAAAGAAAATATTTGTAACATCAACAGGATAGATAGAGTTTCCTTATTGGCGCAAGAGGATGCATTAACCATTAATCCTAAACATGATGGGTAGCACAAACCAGTGTGGCTTTTCAACCCTTAACTTTGTATGGGAATCAAAGATGTTCATAGAAAGATGCTTTGGCACTAAGCTTAAAAAAAGTGTGAATAACTTTTGCAACCAAGATTTGAGGAACTGGAAACAATCGATTGGAGATTGGCATGCAGCATGTGATGAAACCCAAATCTGAATTTTCGGTTATCCGGTTTTGCATCTACAATCCGATTTCAAATTTCAAAACTGGTTATCTGCTACCAAAAAACCGAAAATTGACAAACGTTTACCCCACCAATTGTTGCCTTTGATACCGGAAAAAAGGTATTCCACCCAATACTGGTTGTCCACAACAGACTGGCTGCTTGTCAGCACAAACATACTTCTATATCATTATGCAACAATCATATCCATACATGTAGACTGTCATTTCTACACTACATGCACAGCCAGAAGAGTCATTTTAGCTAATGGGCTGTGGTGCACATTTATTGACTTGTCACTACAAACTGGATTCCAAATTAACAAGTGTCGCACACTCAAAACAATCTATGGGGCTCTCAGAACCCACTGTATGCAAACCAACCCAAATGATAATGCAACAGATGGACTGGCTCCCAAAGACAAGGCACATGACCCAACATAAAAAATTGTTATACAACTGTACAGGAATCGTTGCAAACAATCCCAAAGTACTGACAATTTAACCCTAGCCCACTGACATGTCACCTGGGGTACAGGCTTCAGTACTGCAAAATACCGGTACTACATTGAGCCTGGAGGACCTTATGTTACAAATTACTTCTTCTGGCTAGGGCATTTCCATTGTTATTCGCACAGAGAACAATACAGTCATGTATTCATAGTGCCACAGCACTGTACGGTACCTTGCCTTAGTAACTGTATTTTATGACTTAGAGAACAATAACGTCATGTACCCATACAAGACACAGCACTGTATGCTACATTCTACTACTAAGTATTTTATACATGTAGCTGGGTGGAATCGTCCAGATCAACAGCACTTGTGTAAAGCCTTAGGTCACCCTCCTGATTTGCCAATTTTTTTGCATTTTTGAGGGTTACCAAGGCAATTACAAAAAATCCAGATGGCATCAAGGCAATTGTACATATATAACTGATTTAAAAAGTGCAATGTACATCTTTGCGTTACTGACCTATTGCAACATGCATATGCAAAGTCTAGTAAGACAACTTTGAACTTATGGTAGGCAGCACAATGAAATGCAACATGTACAGTGTACACCTTCATCGTCGTCGTGGCAGCTGGTCGAGATTGACCATGGCGTCCTCATCACTTCTGACATGCCCTTTGATGTGAGATCAGCCCAATGCAGGCATGGAAAACACAACTACATCGACTGCATACTAGAGGAGGGTCTTGGGTTGAGTCTGGTAGTGAAACAGCATGGCGGCATCAGCATCTTGCTGTGTCTGCGGCAGTACGTGCATCCTCAGTGGCTACTCTGCCAAGCCGAATTGTCCATCTCCATTGGGGGCGGCAAGTTGACTTATCCTCCCAGGTAGAGATATCAATATGACATGTTGTCAAAGTTCGCTTCAGTGTGTCCTTGTATTGGGTTGCCCGTGATGCCTCTCACCACTTTGCAACTCAGAGTAGAATACTGCCTTCGGCAACCTTGAATCGTCCTTCCTGACAACATGGCCAATCCATCCTCGATCATTTGGATGACACTGGGCATACCGGCTAGCTGCAGCACGTTGGTGTTCAGAGTCCTATCTTGCCATGGGATGCCCAGGATGAGACGCAGGTGCCGAAGTTGTACCTGATACAGCTTTATAATGTGACGTCTGTATAGAGTGAAGGTCTCTACAGCATAGAGAAAGTTGGCCAGGACCACTGCACGATAGATCTTACATTTCATGGAATACTGAATGTCTTGCTGTGACCATAAACGGTGGTGCAAGCGGGAGAAGGCTGCCCATGCAGCCTTAACTTGGGCCTTGATCTCTGAGTTGATGCTGCCGTCAGAAGTTGTAGAGCTCCCAAGGTAAACAAAGCTATCAACCGTGGTCAGTGGAGTACTATTGCACAAAACCGGCGGTATAGCCCTGAGTGATGGAGCAGGTGTGAAGACCACTTGAGTCTTTTTAGCATTTATGGAGAGACCAAGATCACAAGCAACACGTTTAAAGATGTCGAATGTCTTCTGCTAGTTACTGTGACTATTGGAAACAAAGGCTGTGTTGTCAGCGTACAGGAGCTCATGAACTAGCAGAGTGCGGACTTTGGTTTTAGCTTTTAGACGGGATAGGTTGAAGACTTTTGCCGGTCTAGTGCGGATGCAGATATTTTCTGCTATGTGTTGCTTAGTTACATGTAACTCAAGCACTGCTGACAGGTATTTGTGAAAAGTATGGGTGCCAATGGACACCCCTGTTTTACTCTGTGAGACTGGGAATGATTCCGAGACTTGCCATCTGAACGGACCCTGGCAAACATGCCATCATGAAATTGCCGCAGTAGAGAGATAAACTTGGGAGGAATCCCATATCTAACCAGGAGGTGCCATAGGCCTTCTCTTTTGACGGTGTCAAATGCTTTTGTGAAATCAACAAAGAGCATGAGGAGTGGTTGTTGTTGCTCGATGGCTTTTTCCTGGAGTTGCCGCAAGGTGAATGGCATATCCATGGTGCTGTGCTTTGGCCTAACACCGCATTGTAATTCTGGCAAGATGGCCCCTGCAAATGGCTTAAGGCGATGTAATTGCAGCTTTCCTAAGACTTTGCCTGGGATGGACAAGAGCAAGATGCCACGGTAATTCCCACATTCACGACATTCCCCCTTAAGCTTGAAAATTGTAACGATAGTTGCATCACGATATCCAACAGTGGCTGAAGAACTCCTGGAGGGCATCGACCAGCCTCTCACCGCCGGCTTTGATCACTTCCATTTGGATGCCATCTGCACCTGTTGATTTGCCATTTGCAGAGGGGGAAATAGCGGTCACAACTTCATCACGACTCGGTGGGTCATCTAAGTCATGCTGAACTGGTTGTTGTGGAATGGAGTCAATAAGATCAAACTTGACTAGCTGGGTAGTATTCAGGAGACTATGAAAATGCTCTTTCCATCGATGGAGGACCGATAGTCGATCACAGTGGAGTGTTGAGTTGTCGGTGCTTAGCAGGGGTGCTGCAGCAGAGCTGGTTGGGCCGAAGACTCCATTGAGGGATTGGAAAAGGTCAACTTGGTCGCCAGTCTCATCGCAGGCCTGAATATCCTCAGCAATTTGAGTCCACCAGTTATCATGCATGTGAGGCAGTTCTCCTTGGACAACTGCACTGGCTCTGTTGTAATGCTGTCGGTCGGCATCTCGATGTTTGCATCGTTCTTGTTGAACCAATCTCTATTATTCGTTTTGTGAGGACCAATGATTCTTTGAGATGGCTCACGAATGGCATTGGCGAGTTGAGCCCAGTAGGAGTCTACAGACTCATGATAAGGGGTAAGTTTTGTGAGTTAGTCACTGATGGCAGAGTTGAGCTCAGTGAAGACTTCTGGGGAGTGGAGCTTGCCAACCGCTAGGCCTGGCTTAGGTCTAGGGGCAATTCTAGGTTGGTGAGTGCAGAGCTGCAGCTTAGTTTTCGAACGTATCAGCATGTGGTCTGTCAGAAAATCAGCACCGCGCATTGCGCGGGTAATTCAGACATCAAAGAGATGTTCTCTTCTGGTAATGACAAAATCCAGCAGATGCCACTTCTTAGATCTAGGATGTTGCCAAGAGTTGTAGTGATGATTTGATGAATTGAAAAAGGCATTGGCAATAGCCAGTTGAAATTCGGTGCAAAGGGCGAGGAGCCGATCGCCATTTGAGTTACTTTTACCTTGGCCAAAGTGCCCAATAACTGGAGACCAGATCGCATGGTTTGACCCCACCCGGACGTTGAAGTCTCCAAGAAGAATAATTTTATCCTTGTCACATGCTGAAGGAAGCAGGCTAGACAAGGCTTCATAAAGCTCATCCTTAGCCTCCTCTGGGTAGGCAAAGTAGGAGCATAGGCTGCAATAACAAAAAGATGATTTCCAAGTTGTAATTGGATGCGCAGAGATACCAGCCGGTCTGATTGTAGCTTTGGTAAGGCGGCTTTGCAGAAAGGTTGAACTGCGGTTTGACCGAAGTCACCGCGGTTTGTCCAATCCCTAGTTACAAGCCGACAACCGCGGTGTCCCGCCCACTTTACATATCAGTGCAACTGACTATAAAGCCCCTATTGTTATTTAAATACATGCAGACCGCGGTGATCGCGGTCGGCTCCACAGAGGAATTAGCAACTGACTGCGGCCACCGCAGTGACATTCCAAAGCTGTCTAGGTACTTTTCAGGAAGTCGGCATACCGACTCCAATATTTCTCGGACATTTTTTAAGGGGGAAAAAATGAGCACATTGTATGTCACTGTTTTTCTCCCAGGAACATACTTTTACTCCGGCCGTGTTGTTTGTGTTGTTGGTTTGCAGTTCTGGGAAATGGTCTCCGTAACGTATACGTAAAGCACTATTTTTGGTTGAGACCTGTGAGTGATGAAAAATGCAAAATGCCAACGAAGTTTTGATAACGTTAATAACAATCTCATGTAATAAACTGAAGTTTTAAATTTCAGAGCTTTTTGTACAAAAAAAGTGCATTTGGCAGTTTATGATTAGGGTAAATATCTGAATGTGCCGTGTTGATGATTGGAGTCGCATTTCTATTTCTTTTTGTGACTAAATTTGAGGCACGACTTGACTTGAAAAAATATTACTTGCGACAAAACTTAAAAGTGAAATGACTCCCGACTTGACTTAAATTTGACATGTTGACTTCAACACTTTTGTACATGTATTGAACACAACCGTTATGTACGTTCAACGAAAAGGTCAAGGGCTGGATTACGTACATGTACGTATCGAGCCAGACGTCCTGCTATATTTACATGTACATGACGCAGAAAGTATTCACGCTTTTTTTTATCTGCAAAAATTGATGAACACATTGCAACACTGATGAACTTTGTTGTGTTTTTCTTAATGTCAACTTTACTTAGAATTTGCGTTTTTGTGAAATAAAAACCGGCATCAATGGTAACATGTTGCCAAACATTTTTATCCCTACTGAAATCATCATTCAAAATATAGTCCCGTTCACATAATTTCATCAGAGATTTGTGAAAGGTGATAGATCTGCAAGCGCTGTAGACTATACTAGTGGTCTTGCTAGTGTGTTCAGGCCTCAGTCGTGAGGTAAAGTTGCGCTTCGCTGGATCGCTGCAAATAGGAGCACATGAAAGAAAAGTCCCCAGTGTGAAATACGTTCGGACTGCGGTGATCGCTGTCGGCTCCACAGAGGAATTAGCAACTGACTGCGGCCACCGCGGTGACATTCCAAAGCTGTCTAGGTACTTTTCAGGAAGCCAGCATACCGACAATATTTCTTGGGCATTCCTTTGAGGAAAAAATGAGCACATTGTATGTCACTGTTTTGCTCCTAAGAACATACTTTTACCCCAGCTTTGTTGTTTGTGTTTTGTGATGTTGGTTTGCAGTTCTGGGAAATGGTCCCCGTAACGTACATGTACATGTATACGTAAAGTAGTATTTTTGGTTGAGACCCGTAAGTGATAAAAAAAATACAAAATGCCAATGAAATTTTGATAACGTTAACAATCTCGTGTTGTGAATAAACTGAAGCTTTAAATTTCAAGTTTCCTGCAGAAAAAATGCATTTGATTGGATTATCAGCATGCACATGTACGTATCGAACCAGACGTCCTGCTAGAATCACACGATGCAGAAAGTATTCGCGCTCTTTTTTATCTGCAAAAATTGATGAACACATTGCAACACTGATGAATTTCGCTGTGTTTCTCTTAATGTTAACTTTACTTAGAATTGGCTTGTTTGCAGTTTAGTTGCTCCCGATAAAGAAAACACAGGGGCCGGAATACGCACGCATGAAGAATTTTGCGAGAAGTACAACGATGTGATTTTATAGCGCGAAGAACTGAGTAATGAGCGTATTGTTGAACCTAAATTCTCACTATATTCCATAGACTTAAATTCCAGTCTGTGATGAACAGATCGTTTTGTTTGTTTTTGTTTTTTTGAGTGTGGTGCGAGTATTGTAAGTGCACAACGCATCTAAGAGCTGGCAAAATATGACCGATAAATGACTGAATATCATGTCTATTGGATCACAGTTGTTTATTTGTGAGCGCGTGACACGGTGATACTACGTGTATAATGCATATATGCTGGTTGCAGGGTCTCGCCTTTTTGGATGGCGTTTCACGATGTCCATCGCCGGGGCGGAAATCTGTAAAGTAAGAAGTGCACGTTCTTAATACCAGTGATTTATTACACCACTGTGATTTCAACTTTCCGGAAGAAAATTTCATCCCCGCTTTTAATGAATTTGTAAAAGTGGGCAGCTCTCATTTGGGCTTTTTATTGGCGCCGGCCATTGGAGCGCACATGACATAGGCCTACCGCAAAGGCAATGGATTTGACACAAGCCAGTAGTAAAAGGCAATCATTTTACACTCGTACCACCAAGGTGGCAGAAACATTAAGCACATATGTAATACAAATTTTAAGCTAGCATTTGCTGTTCTATATTTCGGAGCAATTACCCGATCAAAATCACATTTGAAAACGTTGTGTTTCATTCATACTATGTGTGATCGTTGATTCCCGATCGCCGACGTTCTGAAAAAACTTTGGGCTTCATAAAAATGCGCCATGATCACCGCGTTTTGGACAGCTGATAATGCATTATTCATGGTGTGCTTTAGCATTACAATGCCGCATTTTCCACTCGTACCTCATTAACTTGCCTTCGCGTGAGTGATTTTGATGCAGCCAAACCGCAGCTTGTATGATCCTTAGCAACCCGGCCAAACCGCGGCGACTGCAACGGTCCAACCGCGGCAACCTTTTTGCAAAGCCACCTAACTCGGATAGCCTTCCAGCTAGAGAGATCTCAATAGCAAGGTCTACCCCTGCTTGACCCTGACGTTCAGCACCAGACCAGAAGAAGATGTAGTTCTGCTCCCTTCTTTCACCAGTACCAGCTAGGCGGACTTCAGACAGTGCGGTGGAGCTCTTTAGCATCTGCCTGGATGCGAGCAATCAAGTAATGAATGGATATTCCAAGTAGCGACTACTAGCTTCCTTAATAGACTGCCTCTGTGACTTCGCAGCGAGGTGCCGTTGGACACTACCCTCCGTAATTGGTTTAAAGCAGTGGCATCATCATCAAGCATGCAACTTGGTCGAGAGGCAGTCTCTTCTCCAGCTGCGCGGTAGACAGCATGCCCAGAGGAATTACAAGCTACCCCTAAGTTAACTCTCAAAAAACCTGTCACGGATGAGGAAGGCTTGTGCAGGGTTTAAGGTGCCAGCATGCTTTGCCTAGGAGCATTGACACCCTCCTGTGGCCAGCTAGAAAATCAAGTGGAAAGCAACTGTGACTAAGGTGAACTGTTGGCAGAAGACTAGCTGGGATTCAGCTGGAGACCGCCCTGTCATGGTTTGAAATCAGAGTTGTCCTTCTCTTAGGTGGACAGCCGACCTAGGCTAGCGAGTTCTGCCTACCCGGGATTGGAAGCAGAGTTGTTCTTCCCCTAGGGGGACTGTCAACCAAGACTAACAAGCTCCACCTGCCCAGGCTTCTATGTGATCCATAGTTGGGGCCCAAACAGGTGCTACCGCTCCGGGCCAGGGCGGACCTGGGAGCAATGGCAATTAAGGGGTGGCTCCACATTCCCAAAACTCCAGAACTCCCACACCAAAGCCTTTCCACCGGATGCAGTTTAATGTCATACCCAAGACAACAGTGTACACCTTTTAAACTTAGTAGCAATTACAGGTAAATAAAATAATTAAAAATGTACTCTCTCAAGTGTTTTGCTCTCTCTTACTGTAATAGCCAAAAAATCCAAAACAAACAAAATCATGAGTAACTGTGAGATATATGTACTTCATTCTATTTATTGAGTTTTCAGGATTAAATTAGGAAACCTGAATGCAAATTCCAAGGGGACAGTTGGATTTTCGAAATGAAAATGACAACATTTTTACATTCCAGTTTAAGTGTTTTCCAAGCAAAAAGTTTATTTCATATACTAGTTTTGTAAATTTTTCAGCTTAAGATATTCCCAATTGAATCAAGATCTTTCAGGTATAAACTTTGCGAAAATTACTGAGACAACGTCGGGTGCAGAAATTTTAAGAAGCACAGTGTGATGAAAGCACTGCAGAAATGTGAGCTCACCACAGCATACAGCCCTTAGGACTTTACCCGCATGCACTGTGATGCTGGCCACCAGTAGCCGGCTGTATGAGTGAATGCCATGTGAATGCCATGTAAAGTAAGCACAGCTGTGTCTGCCATAGAACACAGCAGCAATACAGGTATCAAAGACAAAAACTGGTAACACAGTTGTGGCTTCCAAACTATATGATTGAAAGGAAAAACCTGTTTTCCTAAGTGTTTGAAACCAGTCGTTTATTGGGCCTTTCTTGCAGCAACTTGAAGAGCGACTTGAAAACAACAAAGATTGATGAGATGAGAGTTGGCATGGAAGCATTTTATCAAGAGGTAAGTCATTGTAAAAAAACCCTGTTTATCATTCAGAATAACTTGATATCAGTTCCTGCTGGAGGACTTGTCAACATCCAGGGATTCCATACCTTTACATTCAGGGGATGGTTTAAAGCATGTCACAGTGAATTGTGTGTGCAGAAACATATGATGACTTTCTGCTATCCCCACACTTGCATGATTCCCATTGAGTTCATGCCAACACACAGGCTGAAACTAGTCCCTGGAGGTTGAGTTCAAGGCACCTTCAAGTTGCTTTGGGCCACGAACAGGCATTATAGCAAATTTAATATCCCTCAAAGTATTGTTCGAGTTTCTGAAAAAGATGTGCCACAAAAAGAAATGTCATACAAATCTTGAAAAAATTGCCACGAAAGCTGAGCATTTTTTTAGTTCAACTTTGTGGGTATCACAGAACGGATAGAATAACGGTATACAAAAAGACCAGAAAGCAGTTCCAAAGGATGCTGAATGAGGGCAAGAATGAAACAACACCATTGTATAGACCAAAGAAATGGAACAGAAAGGAAGAAAACAACAGAAGAAACACGGTTTAAAAAGGATGGTAGCGAGAAAATGATGTTTGTCAACTTTGACCCTCACGAAGCATTGACAAAGAAAAATCAATAGGGTGTTCACGGAGACCGGCCTAAAAGTAAAAGGGATCGAGAAACATGGGGCCACTATGAGAGAACTTCTGTTAAAAATGGACCCCTTCAAGTCACAACAATGTGAAGACGGGTGCATGATACGCAAGTAGAAAAGACCAGGTGCACGCAAATGGAGGGAGGTCGTATACAAAGTGGAATTCAGAGAATGCAACGGGAAAAAAAGGAATGAATATTGGAGAGACATCTCAGAGTTTTCAAGAAAGAATAGATGAATACATGAAATCCAAAAGACAAAAAGAAGGAATGCTGGTGGAGCATATGAGGGCAGAACACGTGGTAGAAAGGACATCGGCATCGTCATGAGACAGTACCTAGGAGACCC